TTAGCATATCTACAAGTAATAGAAGTAAGTATATTTACAATTAATATAATTACAATAATATTTGAAAGACAAAACTAATGCAAAATGTATGAAAAATATTTAGAAGTCACAATGCATGAAAAATACAATGTGAAGTATACATTTTGGATTTTCTTACTACTAAAATTTTTTAAAATTAATTCAAATTTCAGTTCTATACATTATATTAATGTGACATCTGACATGGTGAGAATGCCATTACCACACTGAAATCAAAACATCCAAATAGGTGGCCAATTCAATTAATTTTCATTTGAGAGTTGAATTTTATCGTACTGGTGGTATGGTAAGATCCATACCTACTCTTAATGAATGTTCATGTGATGTTTACATTTATGGTAGTAGTATCTATACATTTAGTGGGGATGAATGCTTATGAAGCCAAGCAATAGTATTGCCTTTAGATGATGGAAAGTGATAGTTGTAGGGGGTTAGAACATGGATAAGAATATTTTGAGAAATTAAGGAAAGGTTTGAAGTCGTGTACCAATGTCACTTGTATTGCAATTTTATTTGTCCTCTTAACTTGATTAATTGATAAATAATATGATTTTAAACGACAAACATTAAGGATGATCAATTGTGTTTTGTATTAACAAAATAAACTCATTAAAAATATTAATGCATGAGAAAAACCGAGTGTTAATTGGAGGGTGAAGGCAAGTGGGTGTAAGATGTGATTTTTCTTGAATTTAGAAGGGATACGTGGACTTAATTTATGTTATTCTATTAGTGTTTAAAGATAATTTACTATATTTGTGCACTAATTATATCTTGTATTTAAACATTTGATTTACTAATTGATATATGATCACCTCTCAAAAGAACAATTTTGAATTTCTCAAAACCTATACATTTCTTGCTATAATGTACCATTTGACTAAATAGTACCAATAAAAAGAACTGCACCTACAAAATTATCGATGGTGATTTTTTTTAGGGTAAATTATATATATACCCCCTGTAGTTAAACGCACCCTGCACCCTGAATTGTTTTTTTGAGTCATTTTGTTAGTATTCATTGATGTTGTTAATGTCTAAGTCATATTTTTTGTTGCCTTCTCCTCTCCTTCCTCTCAACTTTTGCTTTTCGTTTCTTAAACTTAAATTAGCTAAAACTGAATAAGCTTGCCGATGGAGCTTTTGCTTCATTGTTGTGGCTTTGATGATGATGGTTGCTAAATTTATCATGGACATGGTTCTTGTTGTTGCTGCAAGTGCTGCTTCTGATATTGCTGTCGCTTTTGCTACCATTGCGGCTAATTTTATCAGGTTTTTGGTTATCTAACAAGTAGGAAGGGTGAAACTATCCAATAAATTTGTAAAGGACTATGGAGATACTGGGAGGTGTGAAAAAAGATGGAGAAGAAGCAAGTGGCCATGAAAGAAAATGTCATCTACTAAAGACAAATTGATTGCAATTGAAGGTGGGCTTTTGGTTTTATCAGGGATTGTATTAGAGTAAGAGTGGATAGAGATTATGAGGGAAAACTCATGAGAAGGAGAGGAAGATGCAGATGCCAAAAGATGTGAAGCAGGGGATATTGATGACTGCTACTTATCTGTTGAACCTTCTATTTTGCCTTCTTCATGCTTATGATAAAGTATATAAAACAATTATTGAAGTAATTTTTCATTAATTTTTTCATTGATTTTTTCCCTAAAAAAAGTCAATAGCTTTTTGTCCAAAAATCAATAGCTTTGTCTAAAAACTTTTCTTCCCATTTTTCCACTTATTTTTTCCACTTCAAAATTTGTAAGTTTTTTTCTTTTTTTTTTTTCTAAAAATTCCTATCTTTTCATGGGATTTTGATGTATCTTGGTTTTTCAAATTCTGGATTTTCAACATTTTACTTCAAAAATAGTTATTGTGGTTTCTATGCTTTTAGGATTTTTATAAAAGCCCTAACCTCCTAAATCTATGTTTCATGGTTTTCTTTGAATAGGTATTGAGTTTTTAGGGTTTGAAGATTGTAAATTTCATCAATGGTGCTTTAGCAAGTAATTGTAAGTGTGGTAGTAATGAGTATTTCTATTCCAATTTTAGTTACAAAAATGAAGCCCCATGTTCAAATTTTTTAGATTTTCAACTTTCTAAAAAGTCTAGAGGGAATGGGGGATTACCAAAAAAGGGAAGTGCTTTTTGTGGAAGATGATGAGGAGAAAGAAAAAAATGTGGTGTGTATAGATTACCAAAACTTTTGAGAAAAAAATAAGGTATAAGGAGATAAGTTGGCACGGGGGGGAGGGGGAAGATAAGGGTTTAGGTGTTAATGGTATCATTGAATACTAATAAAATAACATGAAAAAATAACTCTAGATGGCTATGTGTTACATTTCAAACTTTAAAGAGCAATGTCAAATCACATTTAACCAAAAAATATATATAATTTACCCTTTTTTCTACGTACATCCTTAGCTTCATTATTTTCACTTGGATCTCAACTTGGGTGCCATTAACAATAGTGGTTTTCCCCAGCTAACGCATTTACTTCCATTGCAATTAGAATTGGTCTTATCCATATCTGAATGATGATCAATATCGACCTTAGGTTCTGTTTAATAAACTAAAAAATTAAGTGCTGAAAAGTAAAGTACTAAATTCAAATTATAAAAGCTGTTCGATATTTTACTGATAATTAAATGTTGAATATAAATATATTGTTTGGTTATTGTAAAATATTTAATTTTGAAAATTTATAATTTTACATTTTTATCTTTATTTTCATTACACATAATAAAGTAGCACTTTTAGGGAATATTAGTTCAACAAAATTTAAAAGAAAAATTTACTGAATGTTTTATTTTTGAATTAAATGATAAGTCTTTATCTACTTATCTTATTCAACGCTTTCGATTGAAAATTTTCTACTAAGTGGATTTTAAAATGTATTATCAAGCACATTAAAAAAAATTAAATTATTAAAATTTTCATTTTAAATACATTAAAAATTTTAAATGCGTTATCGAACAGGTTGTTTAGTTTTAGTTACATCCATATCCTGGTAAAAGGTGAAAGAATGAATTAGGTACATGATTTCTAATATTTATTTGGAAATTTATGAAAGGAGATGAAAATATAAACCTAAGATATCTTAACCCTCTTAAAAGAAAAAAAAATGTATATAGTTCACAATTATACTGTTGCATAATTATACAGTTCATAATTACATGCAACATATTAAATTAATATGACATCAATGAACCACACAACAGAAGAATTTTGTTAGGTAAAAAAAGAAAGAAAGAAAGCCAATAAATAATTAGTAGATCCTCAAATAAATTTCAATTGCAGAATGGGAAGTACTTAAAATTTCAATATCCTAGTAGTTGAAAAGTTAGAAAATTTTAATATTTTTATAAACAAACTATCATTGAATTCCATCTACCTATGGAAATCTTATTTTAATAGTAGTTGAAAAATTAGAAAATTTTAATATTTTTATACACAAACTATCATTGAATTCCATCTACCTATCGAAATCTTATTTTAATGCTGTACCTCGACAAGAAAAGGAAATGCCAGTGCCGTGGTGTCAGAAAACTATAGCACATAATTATTTCAAAAGTTGGGAGGATGTCAAAAGAAGTGACATAATGCAAGTGGGTCATCGAAATAAAATGATATTAATGCCAAGTCAAGCTTTGGAAGTATCGAGACTGTTAATTTTGAACTTCGCTTCATGGTGCATTTTTTATCGGTCTTTATTGGATATAAGAATTTGTTATTCATGTACATGGAGTGACTCTATTCTCTCATCTATCTTATCAATACCCTTTGATTATTCTTTGAAATTAAATTTTGATAATGATTTATTTGAATAACTTTATAAAATTTAGAGTGTATTTATTCATAGATTGAGCAATTTGACCTAGTCTGACAAGTGAAGTTTTAGACATAATTTTTAAGCTACAATCAACTGAGTGTGTTTGGTCAAACTTTAGAAATATTGAGATTGTTAATTTTGAACTTTTCTTCATGGTAGTTTGCTTTTTCTCCTTCGCTCTTTATTGGATATAGGAATTTGTCATTCTTGTACATAGAGTGACTCTACTCTCTTATCTATCTTATCAATACCCTTTGATTATTCTTTGAAATTAAATTTTGATAATGATTTATTTGAATAACTTTATAAAATTTAGAGTGTATTTATTCATAAATTGAGCAGCTTGACCTGGTCCGACAAGTGAAGTTTTAGACATAACTTTTAAGTTCCAATCAACTGAGTGTGTTTGGTCAAACTTTAGAAATATTGAGATTGGTAATTTTGAACTTTTCTTCATGGTAGTTTGCTTTTTCTCCTTCGCTCTTTATTGGATATAGGAATTTGTCATTCTTGTACATAGAGTGACTTTGCTCTTTCGTCGATCTTATCAATACCCTTTAGTTATTCTTTGAAATTAAATTTTGATAATGATTTATTTGAATAACTTTATAAAATTTGGAGTGCACTTATTCATAAATTGAGCAGCTTGACCTGGTCCGACAAGTGAAGTTTTAGACATAACTTTTAAGTTCCAATCAAGTTTGAATATTATTTTATTAATAAAAATATTTTTATATAAATTTTTTTAAAATTATGTTAAAAATATTAATATCCAAAATATATTTTTAATGTAATGTTCCTAAAGAATAGATCTAAGTAAATCGAACTAAGCATTTAAAAATATCAACAAAATCTAATTCAATTCAAGTTTTGGACAATTCTAATTTGAATTTTCAGAAAAAAAAAAAAGAAAAGAAATATAAAGTTTAATTAAAAATAGAATTCAATTTGATACAAAAAATAGTGAATTTTAAACTTTTGAACTACAAATAAAAATCAAACCCAATACAAGAAAAGCCGAACCAAACTCGAGTCAGTTTTTTTTAGCTTCATTATTTTCTCCTCCTTTTGGGTTACATTCATGAATCATGATTAAAGCTTAACCTACTCAATTTAATGCTTTTGAATCTTTAAGCAAGCTTGCCCATCTATAAAATTGATAGCTAATATCAGGAAGTTCTTCTGTATTCTATCTTAGGTATAGCCAACGAAAAAAGAGAGTCATGGGCTTTCTTGGAATCTGCAAGGAGTTTTCCACGATTGCAATGATGTTAACTGTAATATTAACATCAGTAGCAGCTCAAGCAAAACCTGGCTGCCAAAGCCACTGCGGCAATGTCAGCATTCCATACCCCTTTGGTACAGGCAAAGGTTGCAACATAAGTGAATACTTTTTCATCAGATGTAATACCACTTTCAACCCCCCGAAAGCATTCTTAGACACTGATAATATTGAAGTGGTCGACGTAGCTCTCGATGGTCAGTTGCGTATACAAAACTGGGTAAGTTATGACTGTTATGGACCAAAAGGTAGACTTTGGTACTTAGGACGCGAGCTCACCTTGGCCAAATTCACCTTATCTCGTACCAGAAACAAGTTGACAGCTGTTGGTTGCGACACCTATGTATTCTTTGAAGGTTACTCGGAGTCGGGACAAAGGTATTCGACCGGATGTGTATCGTTTTGTAATAAAACAACCGATGTGACTAATGGATCTTGCTCTGGTACTGGCTGCTGTCTGCAAGAAATCCCAGAAAGAGCAACGAGTTATACCCTCAGTTTTTCTAGTTATACATACCATGCCGATATATTGAGTTTCAACCCTTGTAGCTATGCATTTGTTGTGGAGGATGGAGCCTATACCTTCACTATCCCAGATCTTTTTGGTTATAATATGAGTTACAAGGAATTCCCATTGATTCTTGATTGGACAATCGGGAATCAAACTTGCAAAGAAGCTAAAAACGAACTAGAAAACTATGTTTGCAAGGAAAATAGTGCTTGCATAGACGCAGAAAATGGTTCTGGATATTTGTGCAAGTGTCTTGATGGATTCCAGGGTAACCCTTACCTCTCTAATGGCTGCCGAGGTAATGATATCAGCCTCAACTTCTATGTTTTAATTTGGACAATTTCTCAATTCATAGTAATAAATTTATATTATTCCATGGTCAATATATTGAATGGAGTTATATTGTTATTATGAGCTTCTAGTTTTAACACATTTGTATTTTTTTTTCAGACATAAATGAGTGTGAAACTACGAGGCCCTGCAATACTACATGTCACAACCTAGTTGGTAGTTACAATTGCTCCTGCCCAGAAGGGTTTGACGGTGATGGCCGGAAAAATGGAACAGGCTGCAGTCCTAAAGTCAGCTCCGGAGGCCAGAATTTTCCTGTTCTTAATGTTGCACTAGGTTCGTACATATAACTTCTATTTTTTAAACTTAATTCTATTGGAAATTAAATACTCATTATATTTATCATTTAAAAAAAATTATAGCAGAAATGGATTATAAAATTTATACCGTTCTTCTTTCCATCATCCTTAGCTACCAATTAGGCCTTTTGTTTGTGGTATATATTCCAAGTAATTAAAGCAAATTATTGGAGTTTTGATATATAACAATTAGGCCTTTTGCAATGAGACCAAAGTAAATAACTAATCAAAGTTTAATTGAAGTAATTAACTAAAGCGATCTGATACATTGTAGTAATAAAACTAAGATATGGAGTTTAAATATTAAATAAAACGGAGTTTAGGTAGAGATATTAAATTTGATCCTTAATTTTCTCATTTGTAAAAATGTTAAAAATAAAAATTAATAAATAACATGTCTAACATAATGGACAATTGAGAAATATAAAATTAAACTGAAAAAGTTCTGTTAATTTATATCAATAAGTAACAATTAAAGAAAAAAAGATTAGCTTTCTAAGCTAAGTTTTTTTGGCGAAGCTTTCTAAGCTAAATTGAAATTCCATGATTCCATAAGCCACAAAGCCAATATTTACATATTAAAATTAATAAAAGAGGTTTGGCCTAATAATTATTACCCGTGCCTCCAAGATCGAAGCTCCCATCTCCTTTAATACTTCCTCATATTTACGGAAGGAAATAAGTAAATTAAAATGCTTGTAAATTGTTCAAGATCGATCAATCTGTGTCGTTAATTTAAATTTAATCTTGATTAATACAGGCATAGGCATAAGTCTGCCAGCTTTCTTCTTGTGCTCGTCATGCTTGTATTTGGGACTTCGGCAAAGAAAGCTCACCAAACTGAAGCAAAAATATTTTCGGCAAAATGGTGGCTTTTTATTGTGGGAACAACTTTCAAAGCGTGAAGATTGCGGTGAAACAGCTAAAATATTCACAGCTGAAGAACTCAAAAAGGCAACAAACAACTACCATGAAAGCAGAATCCTAGGCCAAGGAGGTCAGGGAACTGTTTACAAAGGAATATTACCTGATGGCAGGAACGTTGCCATCAAAAAATCCATAATAGGAGATGAGAGCCAAGTTCACCAATTCATCAATGAAGTAATTGTGTTGGCCCAAATCAATCACAGGAATGTGGTAAAACTGTTGGGATGTTGTTTGGAAATACAAGTTCCGTTACTGGTTTATGAATATATAAGAAATGGAACCCTCTTTGACCACATGCACAATGCTGCTCATCATGCCCCTCCCATACCATGGGAAACTCGTTTGAAAATAGCCACTGAAACTGCAGAAGCCCTTTCTTATTTGCACTCAGCTGCATCTCCTCCGATTATTCATCGCGATGTCAAGTTGACCAATATTCTCTTAGATGACAATTACAATGCAAAAGTATCGGACTTTGGTTGTTCAAGATTGATCCCTTCAGATAAAGCACAAATAACAACGCTTGTGCAGGGGACTCTGGGATACTTGGATCCTGAATACTTGCATACAAGTCAATTGACTGAAAAGAGTGATGTTTATAGCTTTGGGGTTGTTCTCATTGAGTTACTAACAGGACTAAAAGTGCTTTCTTTTGAAAGACCAGAAGCAGAGAGGAATTTGGCTATGTTCTTTGTTTCTGTGATGAAAGAGGAGCGCTTGGGGGATATTCTTGATGGACGAGTGGTGAACGATGAGAACATTGAGCAACTTAAGGAAGTGGCAATTTTAGCTAGGAGATGTGTGAGAGTGAAGGGAGAGGAAAGACCAACTATGAAGGAAGTTGCCTCTGAATTAGAAGGACTGCGGGCAATGAAGAAACGGAAGTCTGGAAAAGATTATTTGCAGGAGGAAGAGGAGCATGAACACTTACTTTATGGCGTGTACAACGACAGACCTGGTTACGAAGGTTCTAGCATAAACTCGATAGGCTATTACAGCATTAACAACCCAGACAACTTTGAAATTTATGGTGGGCGATGATTATATTTATATTGTTACAACTTATTATCAGTCTAAACTTTTGGGGTGTCGCATCTTACTATCTTCTTTATTCCTCCTTTTTCCGGTTTATGAAGATGCATGATTTAATATCGTCAGCAAGAATCGGTGTGAATGTGATATCAGTGAATCACCGATTGATCTAAACGTTGCAACTCTATCATATTTTGTCATTTATTTCTCATTTCCTTGTAAATTCAAGTAATGTTTTATCCTGATTTTTTTTTAGATCTTTCTTTTTTAATTCTTTTGTCCCATTGTAACATAATGGATACATTAATTTCTCACTAGACCACTCTGCCTCCTGATCAATCTTAATTCCTCCAAAGAGGATGCAATTTAAAACAACTTGTCTCATCATTCAATTAATTTCCTCATCCATTGGTTTTAAATGATCACAATTATATATATTCATCCGTGTGTGTGTGTATATTATATATAGAAATACTTTATTTGAAAATAATAAAGTAGAAGTACTTTGGACTATAATCATTAATTGTAATATTCTAGATAATCAACATCGGATATATAACATATTAATAGAATAAGAAAAGTAAGTTAAATTAACAAATTAAGAATACAAGAATGATAAATTCTAAATATCACATCATATCGATTCATAATATTGGGAACATAAATTCTCGATATAAACTTCCAAGTCCCTCCTTATCGTTATTCATTTGGAAAGAGATTCATCTTTAAAAGTAAAAGTTAATTATTATCAGGTGAGTAAACACTTTTTAATTTTTATTGTTAGTTTTTTTTAGTGTAAGACATAATCACAAAGAGAAATAAATTGGATTATCTTTAAATGTCTTTCCCAAAAATAAATTTAGTTAAATTCAATGGAAAATTAAAATCAATATACTTTTTAATGAAAATATATTGTAATAAACAATAATTAATAAACTTGAAACAAATATGAATAACAATGAAATTAAAAAGAATAAGGATAGCAAAATCAAACACAATAATTTATAGAGATTCAGTCTTTCTCCAAAGGCACCTACATTTTTTTCTTTAACTTTCTTAGCCAAGCTTTAAATCCACAAGTAAAATGTTTTTTTCTAAGTTACAATCTCTATCTTGTCAAGCCTCAAGATAGTAATCTCTACCCTTTGTAGGATTATACTCTATCTCACTATAAAGCTATCAAAAGGATACCACACCTTTTGCTCCCCAACCCCCTTTGGATGTCAAAAGAATTTGCAAACAAGTAAAAACCCTTTAATAGGTAAGTTTTTACTAAGTTTAAGTATAAAGATGAATTGACAAATGTGGCTTGGGTACAACAAATACAAGGATAAAGAATCAAAGCTCTAAAAGCTCTTGAATTTTTTAAGGATTTTGATTGAATGCTTTTGAATTCTTGAGAGAATGAAGGTAAAGCTTGTTGGTACTTGATCTCTTGCTCCATAAGTGTGTTGGAGTGCCCAATTTATAGGAAAAATATGTTTGTAGCTATTAGGGATTGATTGAAAGAGAAAATACCCATTGAACATTTGAAAAACTAACCATTTGAAGCATTTTGTACAAGACTCAATTGATTTGATTTTGGACCTAAATGATCCTGTAAGCGACCCGATCACTCATTTCTTGTAAATGATTGATCCCTTTTAGCCAATTTACAATTTTGTGGCTTTCTAGATAAAAAAAAAATTGATCAATCCATTCACTTAGGGGATCGATTCATTTTCCAAACCCTAGACCCAATTGATCTTGTAACACAAGGGATCGATCCATTTTGTCAAGGAATCAATTTTGTTAACTAGGGGATTGATCATTTCTTTCCAAACTTGTATAAAACCTTCTTTAAACATGGAAAGAAGTTGATTTTTTTATCTTAAATCATTTTTCACTTGAAAAATAACTAGCAAAAGTTTTCTTTTTAAGTTCAAAACATTTTTCCAAGTTTTTCAAGGTTTAGCAAATCAAATATCATTTTATAAAAACAAATTATGTATTTAGTACAAAACTAATAAAACTTAATAACAATGTACTAAACAAATCTTTTACAAAATCATAATCAAGCTTATTTAGCTTAATGTTTTGTCATTTTAAAATAAGGATAAATTTAAGGCTAACAATCACCCATTTTTTGATATGACAAAACTTAAAGATAAATTTGCTTAGTGAAAAACATTTTAGGGTTTTGAAAGCTATTTTCAAAATTCATTTTAAAAAAGTCCCCCTTAAACAATGCATAGCAAAACCCAATAAATTCTCCCATTCAATAAATGTATCTCAACCTAATCCAACACAACTCAAAACGTACATATGTTAAAGCATATATAACTACAACTAAGCACACATAAACATATGTATATCAAAGCACAAGCAAATTTATCCATTTCACCACCTTTTGTCATAGCAAAAAGTTTTTAGCAAATATTCACAAATTCATTTCTTCCCCATTTTGTTTAAGGTCTCCATTTTTTTGCTAATAGTATATGTTATAACATATAGATCCATAGACCTATCGCTAGATATGATATAAAGGAGTCATCATCAAGCTCTTTTGTCTAGGTGTGATTGACCACCTAACTGAATCTAGCACATTTTAAATATAGTTTCCAAGCCTGACTTAGGTATATTTAAAAGGTAGATTCTAGTCCATGAAATCAGATCTAGGTTTGAGAGTACGGTTATATATGATAAAGGTTATAAAACCCTCAAAATATCCATTCAAAAGATGGTATCAATTTGATTTTGTATTATCTAAGCTTTAAAATGTGTTTGTAATTTTGGCAAGTAATTTAATTATTGAAAATTATCTTAAAATTACTCCAACAGTTTTGTAGTAATTTAAAACAATTTTCTTATCTCATGAGTATTCATGGAGACTCATACCCACTTTGAACAGGCACCATCATCGGATTCATTAAATATTTTTCAAGAAATTAATATTTGAAAATGATCAATAAAATCATCCAATCATTTGATAAGATTTAATTTCAATGCACATCTCTCAATAGCTTGGTGGGATTTTTATTTAAAAACCTTTTCTTATGAAAATTAAAAAAATCATTAAATCTTCCAATAATTTGGTAAGATTTAATTAAGAGATTTAAATCCTCCAATCATTTGGTAGGATTGAAAATTTATTTTTTAAAAAAATTCATTAAGTCCTCCAGTTGTTTGGTAGTACTTAATTCGAAATTTAAATCCTCCCATCATTACTTATTTTGAAATTTAAATATTCCAATCATTTGGTAAGACAAAAAAAATTTATTCTTCACAAAGATTCATTATGAAATTCTCCAATCATTTGATAGAATTCATAATTCAAAATTTAAATCCTCCAAATATTTGGTAGGATAAAGATACTATTTTATTTCATTTTTTTAAATAAAAAAAGTTATTATGAATTTCTCCAATCACTTGCTAGAAATCATAATTTAAACATTCTTAACTCATAAAAAATCCTCCAATTGTTTGGTAGAATTTATGGATTTATTTTCAAAAATTCTCTTTTTGTTTTTTAGAATTATCAATTAAAACAAATAAAATTTACATAACTCAAATGAAAATTAATTAATTAATTAAAAATAAAATATTAAAATCAATTATAAAATTAAATTAAATAAAATAAAAAAATAAAAAAAACCAAAAAAACTAATGGCTCGGCTCGGCTCGGCTTGGCTTAAGTTGTGGCTCAACTGCAAAAAGGATAGTTGGCTTACCTAGCTTTGATCACGTCTTAGATTGCAGCTAGAAGTGATAATAGTTCAGTTTGGATCGGATTTAGTTTGAGTTTTCGGGATGTTGCAGAATATTATGAAAATTTAAAATTCGATCTAAATTCGAACCAAATCAAATTTTACTAGTTCAGTTTGGTTTATCGATTTTTAGTTTTTAATTTTTATATATTATTTTAATATAAAATTTTAATATATTTAAGTATTGTTTGATATAAAATTATTATTTTTATTTTATAAAAATTTAAAATATATATAAAAACTAAGAAAAATATATAATTCGGTTCAGTTTGATTTTTGTTTTATTTTTCACCTCCATATTTAAAATCTGATCTAAACCTAATATATCTATTTAATATCCAAACTTGATTCGTATCGAATAAGAAAAAAAATCAATCTGAACCAAACCAAACACTATAGCTTCGAATCAATTTTTGGATTTCTTAATTTTTTTTCTCACCCCTAATTGCGGCTCAACTCAACTTGAATGAGGGCTACTGGAAATAGGTTACAAGCTGGGTTGTGCATAGGTCGATCGATGCAATGGCAAAACACGTAGATCTTTACCCTTTTTACTCCAAAATAGCATCGTTTCTTCTTTGTATAAAAGCCAAGTATTTTTTTCTCAAATTGTTCTTTTGTTCTCTCTTTGTTTAGTTTTCATTTTCTCTATCTAAAATGAATCAGTAGCCACTAGATTTTGCAAACAATGTCGTAAACTGCAAATCTTGCCAAAATTTTCATCAAATTCTAGAATTTTCAAAAAATTCCTAGAAAAAAAAAGAAATTTTAACAATTGCCTATTTGATTTTGACTTCCTAAGCACATTTAACCAAGAATTCTTTTAAAAAAAACTCCAAAAATTCTTCAAGATTCCAAAAAAAAAAAAAAAACTAACGAGGTTAACTCCCACTCCAAAAAATTTGCACCTCACTTTTATGACCTTTTTTCTTCTATTGATCTCTAATTAATCTCTATTTGATGTGATGATTGTTGTTGTGTTGTGTTCCTCTTTGTGCTTAGTACTAGTCTATTTATAGGATAAGGATTATAGGTTTGATAAAGTTTAAACTTTTTGGTAAAACACTTTAAGTCAACTTAATCTAATCCCCAAAAATTCCACAGATTATCTAAAATGGAAATATTTGCATTCTTAGCCAAACCATTTTTCAATTTTCCTCATTTTTTTCTACTTTTTTTTAGATAAGAAATAGTAATAAAAAAATAAATGAGATAACGTAAAAATGATGATAAAAATAAAATAAAATAAAATAATAACAATAAAAGTAAAAAAG